GAAATGGATGGCATGAGTCAGGCATCAAAGCACTAGGGTGTTGGGGGTCTGTGGGGTAATGGGAGCATAGGCAATCATGTCTCCCACCCATTTTTCCTCTCAGTGAAGTCAATAAATGCTTCATGAATGGGGCTCTGATGGAGGAGAGGGAGAAGGGGGGACATCTTCTGCTGGATCTTGCAGTAAGAAGGCAAGATGCATGTCATACTCATCATGGATGTGATCAGGGAGGCTGAAGAACAGCAGATTATACTGCAGCTGTCACAACATGTGGAGAATGATGGACAAGATTGGAATAAAGATGTTGCAGGGAGCAGGGAGGAAGGATCCATATGCTTCATCAAGTGGGGAGACTGAAATGACCACATAAGACCTCTCTAACCAAGTGACAGACCTGAGGTGACCAAAGAACATCCTTCTGGAAGTCATACTGACAAGGAGAACATGCTGACCAAGCTGCATGGGATGAGACAGGGCTGACAATGATGGGATGAACCAGGGGGCTTCAGGATGGAGGCTGGTGGGAACACCTGGCAGATATACATAGCCACTGTCTCTGGCAAAGGAAACAAGCAAGATGATTGATGAAGAGGCAGCCATATCTGATGGACTTAGTGAAATGAGCATCTGATGGATGGAGTGCTGTAGAAATGCATAGGGTGCACAGATCCTTTCCAAATTTGGAAGGCAGGATTGCATAGCTGAGCACTTTAAGCAAGTGTGGGAATGGAGTTGATATCTTTGGAAATGGTGGAGACACAACAAAAACCAGAATGCCATACATGGGTGCTAAAAACTTTTAATGGGTGCTTAACTCACTTCCTCTTTTCTCTCTAGCACTGATGACTTGTTCTTGTGTGAAGGATGACTGCCAATGCCCAGCAGTCCTTCTATGCATGAGGGCTTTAGTCTTCATCTCCATTTATGGCACCATGCACAACTTGTCAACATGTTAGGCAGAGTCAGCTGTGACCATGTCCACAACACCTTTGGTGTGTGACACCACAACTGGTATGCAATATGAGCAGTTATTGTATAGCACAGGGAGAAGACCACTCACAACTTCTGACATGGTTGAAGTCAATGCATACTATGGCCACAATGCTGACAGTCATGTCAGATGCACAAACACTGCAGACTGTCAATGCTATGATGAATGTCAAGAACAGCATTAGCAACCTCAGCAGAGCTCTCATGGAAAGCAACCATGGAGATGCAACCTTACTCATTGGGTTGACAGGGAATATCAATGTCATCAACTCCATACCAGTTGCTGAGCTGTTGGATGATCAGTGCCAAGCATATGACATTGTTGATTGGCATTTACAAAATATCTGTTGAGACTCAATCCACCACAATTGTGAATGATCATTCCTGGAGAAGAAGGGGTAGGCAAATCAAAGACAATTCAGAAAATCACACAGAATTTTCAATCTTGTGGTTTGTGGCACTTGCTAGTGAAAGCAGCATATACTGGAATTGCAGCATCAACTATTGACAGACAAATTCTCTCCATTACATTGCAATGATACCTGTACATGGTGGAAAGCAGTTGGCAAAAACATGGAAAAAACTGGAAACATTCTGGTGAAGTAAACAGTACCTAATCATAGATGAGATTTCAATGATTTCTCATACATTCTTTGCATCACTTTCCAACATTATCAGTCTGTTGGAGTTTACTCTTTTTACCTTGGTCAAGGTTCATCAAGTACAGCATTACATAATCCAAAAGCGGACACTTAGTGGTTCTATTTTCTTACTGCACCTCAGCTTCAACCAACTTGAAGTCTGAGGTGAGAACCATTCCATTCATTATATTGGACTGCTTATTTACCTACCTACAGTGTAATCCTTTCTCTAGACTTGGCTACTCTGCAGCTTGTCAACCTACAAAACAGCCACACCTGAGCAGATGAATGCATGGCATCTGATGAACCATTTGGAGGCCTGAACATTATCTTGGTTGGTGACTTTCATCAACTCCCTCTAGTTGCAAGAAAGCCTTCAGCACCATTGTATTGGCAGTCAAATGCAAAGAAGGATACTGAGTCAAAATCCTAGGGCACAAGTTATATGAACAGTTCAATGTCATTGTGCAACTGAAAACTTAGGTCAGAGTCACAGATCCTGATTGGATGGAGCTCCTTCAGCACATGTGGCATGGTAATTGCAAGGAGAAACACATTGCCATGCTTCATAGCCTAGAACTCATGGATGACCAATGTGCTCCAGCCAACTTCACCCAACCACCTTGGAGCAATGCTCTGTTGGTGACACCACAACATGCTGTACACATCAAGTGGAATATGATGACAGTAAAATTACAGACACACACACAGGGAGTGATGCTGTTTACATGACCTGTGATGGACAGCCATCAATTAATGCTGGAGGAGCAGTTCACTGTCACTGCAAAACCTAAAGGCTGCAAGGGCATTTGTGGCAAGAGTTGTGGTGACCTTGCTGATGAGGTTCACCTCACTATTGGCATGGAGGTCATGGTAACATTTAACATTTCAGCTGGGTTGGATATGGTGAATGGTGTGTGCAAGCATGTTGAAGAAATTGTACTCAATGCCAGAGAGGAGGCCACCAAGCTGGGAATGCAGTGCATTCACTTGGAGTATCCCCCTTGCTATATTCTTCTCTGCATGAGCTGTACAAAAGCTGAAGCACTGGATGGCTTACTATTGGGTGTCTTTCCAATCACACCTCATAGATCCTTTACAATTGTGATGCAAAACAGCATGAAACCAACAGTGACCAGAGAGCAATTACCTATCACACCTGCCTATGCATTTACCAATTATCAATCACAGGCACAGACAATCAAACACTGCATCATTGACATAGGGACCCCACCATCAGGGGGCTCACACCCTTCAATGCATACATGACCTTGTCATGCAATCAGTGTGAGACACAACTTCTGGGAAGCATGTGACTGGGGGAAAGCTCCTAGGATCATCCCATGGGGTGCTGAATGGGAAGGAGAAGTCAAGGGCAACACTAGAGGTGATAGGGTATACACATGAGGACTGCAGAATTTGATTCTGAAGGCTCATCAGGAAAATAACACTTTACTATTTTTGACTTTTTGTGACTAATGTGACTTTTTGGGAAGGAATCTACTATCATTACCCATGTCCTGCAGGCATGGCTGCACTTTTCTTGCTGATTTTGGTCTTGTTCAAACCACCTGATTCATAGCTTTCAGTAGATACCACATACATTCAAATTGATGGAGGTTCCAAAGAGATATTGTGATTTTTCTCTCAGACAGTGTGCATCACACCAATGGCTCAATATCTCTGAATTTTCAGACATTTTCTAGTCTTCTTAGCTTAGATATATCATCACTTAGTTGTCTCAATAGATTCTGTTCTCCTTTCATTCTTCAAAATGCTGTAGATGGTCAAAAAAAAGTACAGATAGTAGGTTCCTTCCCAAAAAGTCACAAATAGTCACAATAATCACAAAAAAGTCAAAAAAAAAGTCACAAAAAGGTCAAAAATAGTAAAGTGTTAATTTCCTGATGCTTGTGGGCATGCAAGGAACAACAAGTTGAGTATATGGAATTCCAAGGGGTAGTTTTGCAACAAGAAGAGTGTATCTGAGGTGAGGGAGACACAAAATGAGGCACAATGGTCTAGAGGACACAGGAGGCACAGAGAACACTGAAGACACTGTAGATGCCATAGACTCAATAGACACTTTTAGACTCTGGGGACTCTTGAACTCACAAAACACACACAGAAAGTGACTCCAAAAGGTGGGTGCTATTTTTCTGACACTAAGGCAGAGTTATATAGTACATGGAAAGTAGGTACAGTCAGGACAAAGTGGGTCAGGAAAAATTAGAAGACCAGAAAATAAAAGCAGGTGTGTCAGATGTCAACAAAGTATAGGGACATGTGAATTCAGGCAGCTAAGTAGTAGATAAAAGAGAAGAGGATGTGCAGGTAAACTTCCACAGGATTAATGGCATGGTGTACCACAGAGTAAAGGGGGAGGCAAAGCCAGGAGGAAGGCAGAAGCATTGAAAGGAAGAGCCTACAGTATGAAGAGTAACTTGCAGAATTTTGGGTCAACAGGGGTAACCAGAGTTTTTTTAGAGATGTTTGGCACAGCTGACTGGTGACATGGCAGGGCAGTGGCTAGGTTGTGGAATTTTGGATCAGCATCTTGATAACTGGGTGACATGTTGAAGGTCAGGGGAAACTCCAAAGCCAAAAGTGGTGGGACAAAACATGAGGCAATGAGCAGGAAGAATTCCAAAAGTGAGGAACAACAGGGGCCTACTGCAAAGACAGGGGATTAACTGACAGTTTCCTGTTTCAGCCTCAGGGAGTATATGGCTCCCTACACAAGGGCAGGGATACAATTCAACTGCTGCACAAATTCAATGAAAAGATATTCACTCAACATCTGAGTGAATATCTGTGACTGGAAGACCAAAGGCTTGCAGTTCTCAAATGCAAGACAATGTTGGATTGGGAAAGAGCCAAAGCAGCATAGATTGCACCTGTGGCAAACCAGGTAAGGGTGGAATTATTGGGCATCAGGAAGCAATCTACATGAGCTGATGCTGCTGACCCAGCATATACCATGCATCATTTGCACAATGTCTCCCCATCCCTTGTGCTTGGAGTTTGACCAAGTGAACTTTGGACAGTTTAAGCCTGCAATAGTACCTAGATACATGCCTTCAAATCATTGCCACAATCATATGATCTTCATCCACAAGCTAACCACCCTCACATTTGAGATCATTACAATCATACATAAATGCATGCCAACAATTCTTCACCTGCAGTGACCTTGTAAACAAGGTGATAGCCACCTCAAATTCTGAAAACACATTTTCCTTTGCTTTCGAGGACTAGGGGCTTGTTGTACATACAAAGTAGTGTAACACATTTCAATATTATCCATTGCCCACCCCCACCTACCCACAACCTCCACTACAAAACCACACACTTCCACTCCACATATGCTCAATCGCGAAGCTGCCTCACCTTCATATCAATCTCCTCGCGTAACTTCATGATCCGACCACCCAACCGCGACGATAAATCCGTCTCTCGCGTACACAGCGCACGGGCGCGTGCAAGGGTGCCCTTGGCACTCTTGATCGCGTGATTCCAAACTTCCAGTACCGCTTCACCTCCCACAGGATTCCCCTCACTCATTGCGGCAGATCTCTGTTCACCTTCCTTCATATCCAGCACAGCCAGCTCGAAATGAGTCACCCCACCAAGCCAACTGTTCACATCCCCATTCTGATGGTGTTTCAGGGCATCATGAAGCAACTTTCGCGCACCAGCGTAGTCACCCAACGTCCGGTGCAAGATTCCCAAAATAAATGAACGCACTGCGAACTCATCTGGCATGTCCAGGTCAGGAAGCGTCCCAGGCTGCTGTACACTCGACGAAGGCGTCAGATACTCGGTCTGTATGTCCATAGGCGGTGTGAGTGCAGTCAACTCTGCGATATGCGCCAAAGCCGATTCCTCATCGGCATGTGCATGTGCATTCCACACTACATCGGAAATAAAGTCAGTCACCCATTTGGTATCTATTACCATTACCAACCGATAGCAAATTCTACGGAGACATAAATCGGTCAGCAGGTTCATCGCATGCAATACACAGCATATCAGCCGCACCTTCTGCAGGGCTAATCTTCATAGACTCCACGAATCGCTCGGGATCTCCACCCCGACGAGCATGTTTCGCCTTGTAGAACTCAACTGTGAGCACAATCAGGCTTTGGCCGAAAGGTCAAGTGGGCAACATACGCTTCTTCTTGATAAACACTTCTATAGGCATGTTCCTTCTTCGTTTATCTATGGCTTCCGGGAGTGCATTAAACATTTTCTGAGCCTTGTCTAATTGTCCAATGCACACGTAGCACCCTGGAGGATGTTACTGCCTACTCAGCATGCGGTCGAATGGGACACACCAGCAGCGAGGAAGTGATACGTCGCATGACTCCTGAAATTCACAAGAATGCCAAGTCAAACTTGTCCGTAAGGGGGGGGGAAGCAATCTAACCCACCAATTCTTCATCTTTGCGACCTCCGTAAACGCTTGCGCACTCGCTTCATATTGTCTACATTGAAATAGTGTCCATGCTAGCTCCAATGCCAACTACTTGTCAAATACGACACATGGGTGCATCAGTCTTGGACACACTGACATGGAAAGCACACATACCCATGCATCAACTTGCGGCAATGATTTAAGTTGCAATCCCTCTTGAAGTGTAATGATAGCCCCCTTGGGATCACCTGTCATGCGTTGGATCTTGGCCTATGATAGATTGTCCTATGATAGAAACAGATGATATACATGAGAGTGCTGACTTACTTTATTGAGTATCCAAAGAGACCATCTAGGATGTTGCTGCAATACCCTGGCATAATACAATCAGACCGCCAGGTGAACGACATATACCCAAAAGAGGTGCACACATACCTCCCTACGATACCTGTGTATTGATCTATGATGTGCTTCTCATCCGCTTGATATCCGGATGCGAGTAACAAGCCACCATAGTATGCTATCAACACCAACCTAGCATGTGCATATAGTCAATGCAAACGCAAACGACTTTTAAGAACCATCTCATGGCCAGAGTCAACTTTGCGTGTCTTCGGTGCCACCCAGACTACATACGTAAATGAAATGAAGAGAGATACTGACCCTGCAATGACAGCATGCAGGTCTGTGCCTGCAGCAGACACTTCAAGCGCTTTAAGTGCCAATTGTCTGTCGTGGCTATACCCAAGAAATCCGACCAGGTTCCTATATGCCACAGCGTATAAGTGTCAGCGAGTTAATTCCATTCATTCAGTCCACTCAGCACCCGTCAAAGTTCCGTGTGTCGATGCAAATACTTACCTCAATGTTGCAGGCAACGAATACAAGACTAGATTGCAGAGTCCATACCCTAAGGAAGAACGGAAATTACCATCTCCTTAGAGAAAGGGATATTAAAAATAACAAAAGGGTGCCTACCAAGCGCTGCTGATGACAATATGAGCTCTTCGACAGACCCACTGACAGGGTTGATGATGGTGCGGGGAACAGGCTTGGGCTTAGTCAGGTTACCCAGCCCCGTACACCGAGCAAGGAATCCGGACGGTCGAACGGGAATAGAGAGTGTTGTCGTAGCATGTTGTAAATTTGTCTCTGAAAGGTTGTGAGATGCTGCAAGTGTGGATTGGCGTGCCGTCACATATGCATCTAGTCCGTTGGGGTATACCGTTTTGAACAACCTGGTGTTCCGATGAGCATTTTGAGATCGAATACCAAGTCAGGCAGACTTGCTTTTTGTATATCGAGTATGCCCTAATAGAGGCAAGGTGTGAGGATCGAAAAAGGAGGCAAGACGGACAGGATGAAAAGGGCTTACTTATTAAGTTCATACCTAGAAGAATCTCAGCATGAGTCGTGTTGCGCATGGGCAAAAAACGGAGACTGACAAACACAGGATGTATCCCTTGGGTGATTCGCTGTGTGCATAAGTGTATCGATGAGGCTGGACGGGGAAGATGCATGAGTGAAAAATACCACGTACGAGAGTGCGCGAGTCAGCCCAAGGAAAACGAGTGCGTCGGTGCGGATGACCTCCCATTCGATGCCCGGTTGGAAACGATGACTCGAGGTGGTCGATTTAGCATGTTTCATGTGTTTCCTGGCACTTTTTTCGGCGAGGGCCAAGTACTTCGCAGCATCCTCCACGAGTGCGGGCTTCACAGGGATGGGTCCGAGTTAGCGTCAGTCAAGGGGATATGCTGGACGAACCTCCATGCCCAGTGCAGCATTCAGGAGTGCACTTATGCCACGCGCCTTGAGGAGAAAGGGCGAATCCCCCTCTCCCCCCGCGGTAAAAACGTCGAGAGCGTCTTCCACCTTGTTTTCGAAGAGTAGGTCGAGGCATTGCATTTCGAGACGAAGGATCTCTTCAGCGTCCAGTGCAGCGACCATTTCTGTCCTGGATATTTCAGTAGCCTACAGATTATTCGTGAGTTGGTTGGTTCAAGCACTGCAGGCTGCAAGTCGAAGACCTCGTTGAGGCCACCTGGCTTTGAGGGCGAGGCCGTTGTATTCTGCCTCGTGGTTACGGTCTGACACGACGACCACCCGAATTCCGACAGAACAACGTTCCGAGACGCGACGACCCAAGCCCGCCAGTCCATTTCATGACCGTGCGCCAGATTACAGTCGGTTCGCTCAAGCAGCTCAAGAACGCCGTCATCGGGAACCCATCTGCAAAGTTATCGCTTGCCAGAGACTCTGCATTCATCCATCTGTATCGATACATTGCAAGATTTGTTGGCTGAAATGCTAATACACACCGCAGACTCGTCAGTTGTCTCAACCATCCCGCAACACCGAGCACTTGCGAAGCCCAGGGCTCGCAAGATGACATCCGCATCGAAGCTGTCCACATCATTTCATCCTTGGCATACGGTAAATCCATCCTGTACCTACAGAACTTCCGTGGCTCATACCCACTTTCGTATTCGACAGGTTCGGAAACAGCGCTATCCGGTCTACTCCGTGCCAACGCCCACCAAGAGGTCGTTCGTGCACTCACGAGTCCGCATGCGTTAGGCACACCTCAATTGAAGGCGGCACTTGCACGCGGCCTACGTGTGCTTGCGAGCTCGATGGCCGATGTCGTGGGTCCCTCACAAGGACCTATGCGCACGTATACACCAGAACATCGTGCGGAAGCTAAGATTGCACTCAACTTTCTCTTCGAAGTAGGTTGTTCGCCTATATGCACTGGTCGAGTGCGACAGCTGACGGAAAACTGGCACCATGGATCAGTATGAATGTCTTGACGTCTACCTCCCCCTACTCGAAGATTCCTCTCTACAAACATCCCTCTCCATTGCTCAACTTATCGGTGCAGCAGTCCGCACCGACACCCACCGCACCGCTATCATCGAATGGCTCCCGCCCCAAGAACGCCAAAAAGAAATAAAAAATCGAAGAGGATGGGAGAAACATGACGTCGTCTACCAAGCTACGAATGGCAGACACGGAGCTTGGGTCCTGCGTCACCTTGTCGCCATGGTCCAAAAAAAGGATAGTAAGGTAAGCATGTGTCATGTCGTCTGTCAGAATCGTGTAACCGGGATACAGGTACAAGAAGCCGCTTTATCTTCCTTGGGAGCATTGGCTATGGACAATCCTTCCGTGGCAAACATTTTGACCAAGACACCGTTGGAAGGTATGTTTGACATCCGCTCCTATAGACATATCTCATCATCAGGATGCTCGAAGCTCCTGTTCCTGCTCTTAACCTTGTTTTGACACATGCTAAGAGCCGGGTGACGAGCGTACAGTTGGCGGCTTCGTCGTGGTCAGTTTCCTGCATGTACGCATGTTCATGCGTTCACACAGAACATTTAGTGCTACTCACATCATCCGTGCTCAAGGCAACCACTACCCAGGACATTTGGACCACACAGCAGTCCTAACCGTCATCCACGTTGTCAACCGCATCCTTTCCTCGGCGTCCGAGCAGCCGCAAAGCCAAATCAAAGCATGCTATACGCTATGTGAGTAGCTCTCGTACTGCCGAACGTGTTCTGACGGCCCGTTTTCTGTACAGATTCACTTGTCAGGGACGAAAAGGATTTTTGCGTTGAAGCAGCTGACCAGGGCGTACTAGCCAGTTTAGCATCTCTTGTGAAATCGATCACACCTATAGAAAACAGTGACGGCTGGGAAATCGACGAGCCCGATAGCAGGGTCAGCTTGAGGGAGGTTTGTCTACTTTTTTTCTTTGCGCGCGTTCACACGTCATTCATGAGTTGCTTGTAGGCAGCCCTCAAAGCCATTGCAGCCATCTCACTTTTTGATAAGGTGATCAAGCGGGAGGTAGCTGACACGTACGATCTCATACCTATTATACAAGCTTGCCTCACAGACAAGAACGTCGGCGTGCGATGTTCGGCGTGTCATTGCTTGCGCTCACTGAGTCGGGATACGGCTGTGATTAAGACGAATATTACAGATAGTGGTGCTGGGATGACGTTGTATCAAGTGTTCAAGAAGGAAGACGAAGATGTGCGCGTGATTGCTGCCTCGTTGGCAACGGTGTGTAACCTTGTCAACGATTTCTCCCCTTTGCGTAAGGTGAGTGTGACGATGTTCTCGCTCGCCGGTTTCATGCCTGCTTGCTTATCACTACTGGTATTCCCCGAATTATCAATAGGTCATGTTGGAAGACGGCCTGTTGCCGAGGCTGATGCAATTATTTGGGATGGAGGACCAGGAGATTAGGGTTAGCGTGTTATGGGCCATAAAGAACCTTCTAGCGAAAAGCCAATCGTCAACGAAAGACATGGTCATGCAACATCTAGGGTGGTCACAGCTACCAGAGTACGCTCCTTTCCACAAGCATCTTGGGTGCTCCGTCATCTAATACATACTCTTGGCACTAGTCTCGCAAATGATTCAGATCCGGAGATACAAGAACAGGCATTCGCTATTTTGCGCAACCTCACTGATGACGAAACAGGTGTCAGCTTGGTTTTCGAATCAATGGGCGGCGATACTCTTGCGAATTGTCTTTCTGCGGGTTTGGACTCCCCACATGAATTAGTAACTCGAGAAGTAAGTCTTTTTTCTTGCCATCTTTCCTGAAGCTTCCTCGTCCCTATGTCTTTCGCACCCGCCATTGCATTAGACGTCATCGTACTGATCCAACCACCCCCAAATCGCCAGACGACCTACGTGCTGGGGAACATCGCCAACAGCGCCCGGTCCCAGCAAGATCTCATGTTCACGCACCCGCACATCCTTGATGGGATACATCACTGTCTTGCAGATGCCCGCCCTGGGACACGTGTTCCACTGGTTGGATGTCTGCTGACTCTGCTCCGTACCAACCCCCGACGGAAGCGCGACCTCGTAGAAGCAGGGTTTGTTTCAACACTTCGGCATCTCTGCGAGCGGACTGGTGGCGGTGGATCTGGTGGCGGGATCAGTGTGGGTGGAAGCGGGAGCCTGGCCATGAGCACGAGCCCGGTGGGCCCAAGACATCATATGCATCTGTACCATTTGCATCATCCGCATCGGCATATGATATGTCCGGAGGACGATAGGGAGGCTGCCGTACTTGCGAAGCAGGTGCTAGATTTGATGGATCCATCGACAATTGGGGAGATGCTGTGATGACTGCATCTACTAGGGATCGCTGGTGCTTTAGGCATTTCTTCTAATGAAATGATTGTACACACTTTCAAGAAAAATGGTCAAGCACACTGCAAAAGCGTGTTGATGCCGCGGGATTGAGTTACGCCAGCAACTACAGTAACTGGACAGCTACAACTTACGCGCAACGAGCTGGTGTTCATGAATGTGCGCTGTACTGTGATGTCATCTATTACCCACAGTTGGGTCTCCGTTGAAAAAAGTTGCCGTCACGAATGAGACGTTTCGTTCCCCATGGAGGTGACTATGTAACTGTTCGGCGCTTCGTTTCTTAGTGCACTAGAAGACAAAAAAGTTAGACTTAGTTTGAATTGCCTTTCACTACGTATTTGATCTCAGCAATGACCCGTGTGGTTCGGGTACAGAGTCTTCGGAGTCAGGGACCGGCGCCCGCGCCGCTATGATTGTGCATCGTAAACAAGGTTCTCTATGACGCTGCATCTGTAACATTAAACAAACAAAAATAAAACAGTTGATTGCGCGACTTTTGCAGCACTGTTCCTGCGCAACTTTTTATACTACCCCTGCATAATTTTTAACACAGCCACCTTGTACCACTTTGCACTAGCTAGGAGGGCAGATAAAATAGATAAACGTAGGCAGGACGTGAACGCAGTTCGTCGGCACCCTCCCCAGTCATCCCGCCCAATCCACGAGGCCGTGATGCCCCACAGGGCCCGCTCGAACGCTCGACCCCCTCCCCCGCCCCTCCCGCCTGGTGGCGGGATTGCTCCTTCGGGAAATTCCCACGGCATCGCCACCTGCAAATTCATGTGACCGCACTCCGCGCCACAAGTCATCACTGGCCTAGCGAATTTAGGCCCATTTCTTGGCAAATACCCATTATTACATGGGTTATGTACAGTAGCATCGAAACGAGTCCCGAGGAACGGGCGAGGAGTGCGTGTAGCCCTGACTCACTCGCTCCCCCGTGCACGTGCCCTGCTTTGTCGCAAATTTATTTGGTCCATTGTCACGTGCCCCCATTGTAAGCAGCATGTAATGGACCACTTGCCATTATAATGGTCAGGTTTGGCTAGATTATAGCAAATATGTGATATTTTATCTAAGATATAGTGCAAATGTGTAAAATATTATGTACAAATACCCATTTTTGGCAATCTTTCAATGACACATGGGTGGCATTGGCATGGCTTATAACGGAAGTGTGAACAGCCACCGTTAACATGTATTATAAGGTTCTTATCACGTGCCCAAGAAATTTGCGACATTAGTCAGTAGCTGTGGGCACAGCCACCTGCAAATTTTCAGTACTGCAAAAGTCGCGCAATCAGCTGTTTTATTTTTGTTTGTTTAATGTTACAGATGCAGCGTCATAGTTCTCCACTACCCCACGCACTCTTACAAGAATGGCTAGCCCTTAGGGGTGATTTCTAGATCATTAGTAGTCGCCAAGATAGGATTCAGGAAAGAACCAAAGGGTTCGTTCCATCAAACTCAAAGCAATCCTGCGAGTACCGTTAAGTATTGTCGGACGTTGGCGCCATGTAAGTGCGAGGCAGGCATCATAGACAGCTGCGGACACGCTGCACTTAAGTACTTCAAACGGTTAGCATACTGATGAACTCTGCTGGAACGACACTCTAACCCTCATAACTCCCGATGCAGGCCTAGCGCCGGTTCGAAGTCTGAGGTAATTGCTTGAGCACGCGGTTCATGCGTCATAAAGATAGTGTCAACCACCGAGGTCGGGTATCAAATGTTTCTCTGTAGTACATATGTAGGTATCCTACAGGTAATTAGGCGACATCTTAGATCGTACAGGGAACCTATTTACGAATTGTTCTGATGGCAAGTAATATGATAGGCGCCGGTGGCCATCGGGTATCTGTAAACATACCTAGCACACATCTGGTAAAGCCACCTGTCATATCCAACCAATCCAATTTCTTAGCACTTGGGACACGGCACTATGAACAAGGGTGTAGATCCGGGGGCTCTGAGGCGAAGTGGTGAAAGCGTGACGATCCTGGAACTCTTCCAACTGAAAACCGCGAGAAAAAATCTCCTCCAACCTAGCCTTTAGCACTATGGGGACGCCAATGGAAATGTCAACAGAACCGGCACGTGCATGCCAAGTGTTATCAGCCCCCTTGACGGGATTGGATCGGAAAGAGCGCAAGTAAAACTTCGAAAATCCACACGTGTGGAATCTCGTGCCGTCTGGAAAACCAAAGTGTGCGTTACACCAATCAATGCTGGAGCCAAGTCAGCACAAATTCAAATGCATTTAGGAGGATGGTCTTCACCAAGCATTTGAGTTGCCAACTATCACATCGTCGTGAGGTGGGAAAAGGAACACCTTCCCCAAGTTCGCTTGATTGAGCATACGATCACCTGCAACGCTCAGATAGTTTTTGAGGTACTGGGCGTCTCTAGTGCGGATGATAGACATGTGGATTGCGCTTGCGATCCCTGCAATGTCTACAGGCAGCCTATCTGCAATTGCCTGCGAGGGGAAAAATCTAATTAATCACAGATACCACGGGTACACAAGCACGAAACTTGCTGTACGCACATTCGAAAACGCGTTTCCTGCAACGTTCTCTTCGATGAATGGAGCACTGACACCCCGATACTGATATGTAGACATAAGACATCACGTCGATTTATCGTACGCCTCACTTACATTGCACACATTAGTAACAATACGAATAGGCTTCTCTTGGACGAGGTTGAAAACAGTGACGATATAAGCGGTAAGACAATCTTGAGTAGAAAGTGTTTGGTATCCACTCTCGCTGACCATCACGCGCAGTCTACGGAGTTCTTCACCGGAAAACCGCCATTGAAGATTCTGGACTCCGGCGTTAGCTTCGAAGAATGCTGCTCCAAGCTCGGCGGAGGGATAAGGATCATGTAGATGACGGATCTTGTCATGGTACTTCGTAGCGATCTCGTCAGAAGGAGGCGGGAAGTCGTATTTCTTGAATGTAAAGGATGGAAACTCGGGTGACTTGCACTGGTAGAGCTGTGAAAACGTGTGCATAAAACGATACGTGGCAATCGCGTCCCCTGTGCTATATTTGTCAGTTTCTCCTGCTTACCGACACCGTGGACAGACCTAAAGCATGATGCCAGGATACACCGATACAAGTCTCTTCCTCGAAGATGGTAAGTTTCAAACAGAGCAACGGCCTTTCTTTGTCGACAATATCAGCACCATCTGAATGGCAGCTTAGAAGAGGAGATAGATCTTCTTGTAGGACATAGTCGTTTTGTAGAACCGAGCTTAACGGCCTTTCTCGCTCATAGCCGACATCTAGCGGCACACCAGAGTTTGTCAGCTCTATCTGAATATGATTATCATGAGTGAACCATGCGCGATGACAACAGGCACCCCTTACAGACCAACGGCCACCACAGCAACGCATTCGTCCGGCTGTAGAAGGGTACATAGAGAGTGCCTGCGAAAGGGCACTCTCGAACCTTTCCAAGTCAATCACTCCAGGAATAACGTGGACATTGTCAACCTGTCCAAGCAGCGTTGATGAGTAGGATGACGCTAATAGCCCCGTAACCGACGCACATAAGCCAGCCACAAATCGTAACCAGGTAGCTCAACGGCAGTTTCATCGTGAAGCACAGTGGGCAGCTTGGGAACGACGAGATGCTGCATCATGGAATGAAACACGGGGGGGCAAGAAAGAGTTCAGCAAAGGACGGCTGCGATTTTATCACGGAACGCACCCGGAATCGGAAAACTGGGACTGTTTTTTTGGTCAACTGTCCAAAATTTTGACAAAGAGTTACGCGGGGTGTGCGGTGTCCGCGGTCAGCGAGTTCCCACTGTCAGCCGAGAGTACGTCATTCATAAAATTTATCGAGTTTGCACCTAGGACTTCGGAACCTGAGGGGTCAGTACTATTAGCTAACCTCCATTTGGCTAAGCTTCCCACTGCGGGTGTGGCGAAGAGAGCGACGGCCATGAAAGCCTCCATAAGCAACCAGACAGAACTGGTTAGTCTATGTCAGTTCGTGGCACATGGCACAAAGGGCCATCGCGAGGGCCCCGACGACTCCCGAGTCGCGACGACAAATGGATTGACTGGCATGCAGGGTAATTTAGAGGCACAGCTCAAATTAAATCGCATGGATGTTTATAATCGCTTATGATGATGTACCACGCAGTCTCAATGAAGGGACCCGGGATACGGACTGTCCACGAGATAGTACAAGATGCCAAGCAAATTAGATTGCATGTGTTCACGCAAATGAAGTCAAGGAAGAACAAACCTCAACAGCATCCGATGAGCGCACGATTCATTCCCGAATACTAGAAGTCGATAGAGCATAAAGCCCACGTGAAGGCAAGTGCTAGTATGCAAGTCTGCCGCATCACCGTGCACGTCAGCAAGTACTACCAGGAAGGGTCTATCAAATGTCCGGTACTTAGAGTACAGTAGCAACGACGTGTCAGTAAAATCGCCACGTACATGGTGCCCGGCCATTCAACGCGCCCCAAATTTATTCTTATCCCTCAACAACTGGCGATTCTCCCTCCTCAAGCGTCTCTTTTCCGCATCGCTCCCCGGTTCAACGTCTTCCACCGCGGATCTCTTCTTGGGGTTCGTCAGGTCCCATAACCAACTTGGGTAGTCAGCGTCCGGCATGGCGAGAACGGGAGGTTGTCCTTTGAGGTAGTTCAATCCCGACAGGACTGTTCCGGCAGGACACGACGAGATGGGCGGTTCTGAAGATGGAGGAGGAAGGTTGAGAAACGAAACGCTGAATGGAAGTGAAAGAGATGGTTTACTTAGGTCTTCCGGAGACGGTGATGTTGCTGACTTTGCCGTCGATGGCTTCTTCTCTGCCGATGGGCTACCAGCTTGCCTGGGACCGGTAGCGAGGGTGCGAGAGAAGAAAAACGCGAGTCTGCGGTGCAGAGATGCGCGGGGACATACCAACAGCGACATGGGTGCAGTAGTGCTTGAGGAGACGCGTCGGACTTCTCGAAACCACGCGCCGCGCGGTAATAATCTTCTGTACACAACCTCGACTAGCTACACGCGAGATGCCCTCGTGAAAAACACAAGGCAATAACTATGCAGTAACATAGATACATTGTCAAGAAAATAATATGTACTAAATCTGACAGTAACGCTCATACATACTACGTGGGCGCCTCGTGCCGCCCGCACCTAGAAAATACCCGATCCCGGCAACAACTGCGAAGACTCGTGCCCACGACCCTCAAATTCATCATCAACCGAACTCACATCTTCCGCTTCCGCATCCAGCGACAAGGAATACGGCATCACATCACTTCTCCGCCCATTATCCTCAAAGTCTAACGGTTCGTGCTCAAAAGGATTGACGTCAGTTTCGGGCGTCGCTGGTGGCAACGGACGTATCGGTTCCGGCGGTACATCTAGCAGAACAGCGCGCGAGAGTGGCGGTTGACGGGGTGGAGATTTGTATCGCGTGGGTGGAGATGATGGCGGCCGTACTTGTTCGGTTATTGGCGCTGGTGGTGTAATAGTCGTGACAAGCGTCGCATGCGGCGCACGCACCGCACCGACAGGCCCGATGTGAGAAGATGGCGTGGATACACGCGGTGTGGCGACGGGCGGCTGGACAACGCGCTGCTGCTGGGCCCGCGGCTGAAGGTCGTATTCGAACTAGGCCAAAAACGACTGTCATCACTCCGAAAAAGCATTATAAAGAAGCTAGCAACTCACAGCAGCGAACACATCTTCTCTCCGTCTCAGTCCAATGTCCTTGTCGATACAATAACACATGTATAACACGTCCGCACTGCGCGCCGAAATAACGATATACAAGGTGCAACAACGTAAGTCAAGGTCAAAACTCGCATGAACAAGATCATCACGTACGTATCCTTGATGAGACCCACACAATACAACCCTACTAGTGCAGTAACGCCGCCTGCCAACATCGCAGATCCCAAGGCCGAATCGGGCGCGTTAAGTGTGTGTGCGACGAACAGGTACGTCAGGAGCGCGAATGGGAAGGTCATCGTCAACGGTGCGTAGGTTAGCATCGTGAGCTGGGCTTCAATTATCAACATGAAAACCAGGAACATGTCAGATCGCGAACCGGCCGAATAGAATAGAATGAAATTTCACGTACGTTCGGTCTTGAACTTTCGCCGGTACCGTCCCGCGTTGGATGTCTCTACCGCAATCGTCAGAGCACGAGCTCGTCTGGCGCTCGGAAAGAATGGATCGCCAGTGAGGCCCGCGTAGATAAGCGCGTATCGACTCAGTGAAGAAGTGACACTTTCTAGGTAAGCCACGGCCATACCCGCACCAACGCTGATAGGCTGCAACCACGGTCGAAGTACGATCGGGAAGTAAGAAGGTAGGAGCCGTAATGCGAGCGTCAGAAGACTCAAGATCCGAATACCAGCAAGTATTAGTGCACCCAAAACGATCGAACCCAAAGAGGGATAGGTAGCCCGAAAAAGCGCGGCGTGGATAATGTGTGTGTCAGTGGACAGTGGCGGAGGCTGTTCTGGGCTGCATAGCTCATCAGCACTGCGAATTAACTCGAAGAAGAACCGAACGAAGACGAACTCAGCATAGTACCACGCGCCAATGACGCCTGCAGAGGTAGTACGCAAGATCCCTCGTGCGACGCCCCAGCTCCAAAGCCATACGCAAACTGCGCCTACGATAGCCCAGTCCGCCCATTCGCGTAGATGCCCTTCGACAGTTCCACCACTCGAATCTTCGATATAGCCAATCAGAACGAGACGGAAGATCAGAGTGAGGAAAGGGATTGATGCGAACAATGTCAGGAGAAGAATTGCAGGGGAGAGAGCAAGAAGGAACGGATTAGCAATTAAGAGTTGAGAGGCGAGATCTAGTATAGATGACGTAGAATGAATTTCCCTCGGAAGATCGACCAGTCGGCGTGCGGTAAGGAACGACAGCGCGAGAGGAATGAGCGAGAATATCCGCAAACTGAGACCGTCAGGAAGTTCCCAGTCAAATAAAGAGAGTCAGAACGAGCGAAAAATACCCCCGGATGCAAGAAAGCAAGGGAAACGACTTACCCAACCGTTTCTCCCCATGTTGGTTCCTGATCGCCATCCCACATGAAACTGCCTGCGAAAGCCCATATTGCGGAGATGAAAAGCGTGGCAGGTATAAATACGGATGTTGCCACCATGACAGGTCTAACAAAAATCCTCAACAGAAAAATATGCAGATATGCAACGGCAGCGCTGAGGAATGTGAGGATCGTGAGCAGCGGGACTGTGTGCAGTAACGTGATATAAGGTACGGGCCCTCTTGATTTTCCGGGTTTCCGGCCGAGGAAGAGTAAAAGCACGGAGAAGAAGAGACATATCGAAACCCCAGTACACCATACGATTGTCCACGTCGAGTCGTTGAATTTGCGACGAGGGAGTGACCGCTTTGGGTCGGGTAGGGAGAATACGTCAAGAGGTCGGGTAGCTCCGTCCCTCGGTAGTAGTGACTGGGTGAGCGATAAGGAGAGAGGTTCTCGACTCTGTCGTGGCGGCGGAGGGGGCGGGGTCTGTAGCCGTTTATGACGGGGCATTGATGGCTGTCCTAGCATGGCTAAAGATCCTGGAGAGTCAAGAGAGGAACGTGAAGATGGCGATGGAGATGGCGATGGCGACCGGGGAGCTCGTCTAGGTGGTGATGCCTGGTGAGCAAGCCATCCCTTTGGAAAGTCCTGGGACTCTGCTTGACCGTAATTAGATGCCATCAGACGGGAAGACTGGGCGGCATGGCGAGATGCGCCTGGGGGCATTTCATCTCCGTCCTCGTCCTGGTCCAGACGTAGATATGGATCCTCCTCTCCGTCCATGTCAGAGCGCACTTTCCCCGTGCCCGACCGACCACCACCACTGCTACTACCAATGCCTCTGCGTGATACCCTACTCGCTCGGCTGTCTCGCAGATGTGGATCATCAAGGTCGGCGACGTCATGGTCGTCGTCGTTCCCATTCCGAGATCCTTCATCGTCGGTGGTGAACGAGAAGAAAAGTGGCTGGGAAGAAGATAGACTTGACTCTGGATGCTGTTGCATTAAGAATTCAGATGCATATTGGGCGAACGACTTGGCCATCGCCTCTGTTCTGGTCGTTTGGCAAGCCCACTCGCACTCGGGTCTTGGACGCTGGGGCACTGGACAGGCGTTGTACTGGCATTCGAAATAGGGCGACGCATCCGCTGGGAAGGAGCTTCCTAATTTGGATTACTTAGTCTTTTAGTGCAGGGCCCCTCTCCGACTAATGCATACCATTCAGCGTATGTACGTTTGACAGTATTGCCACAGTGTAATGTGTGTAGTAGACATAACAAGTCAACCCGGTAAAGGCGTTAGCACCAGAAAGGACACTCCAAACCCAAGCATCCCTCGAGCTCCCCTAGCCGGGAATTCCTACAGTAGTTCCAACGTCTCTCATTTCCTCCCGTTGGGACGAAGTCTCGGTGGAAAACGCTTGAGCCTGCACATTATAGAGATGTGCGTACTCCCCTCCCAGTGCTACCAGCTCCACATGTGTCCCCGTTTCGACGACCTGGCCATCCTTGACACATCTACAGATACCGTTGTCAGCTGAAGCCGCATGATAGGATCGAAACCCAGCTCCGTTTGGCACTCACATGATCAAATCGGCGTGCTTTGTTAGATGCCCAAACCGGTGCGTCACGAACAACATCGTCCTGCCTTCCCTCGCACCGCGAAGATGTGCGAACAATTGGAATTCTCCTGCGGGATCCAACGCTGAGCTCGGTTCGTCGACCGTGACAAGCTTGACAGGAGTAGAAAGAAGTCGCATGAACGTTCGTGCACTGTGACCAAAATGGAGGGTGTAAAGGGCGGAGTTGGCACATTTTCTAAGGTGATGAGGGATGGGACATGCTTACGCGACGAGTCGTTGACGTTCTCCTCCTACATTGAAAAATAATGGATAAGGGGAACCGCGAAAATGAAAAGAGAACACGCACCCGACACACTGGTTGATTGTGTGAATGATTCATGCATCTTCTCCAACTCTGCATCTCCCCTTCCGTTAAAACTAATGTGCCCATCTGACCGAGGATCCAAAGTCGTGTTTAGACCCTCCGAGAATTTATTTACGGTCTTCTCCGCGCCCGAAAGTCGCAGTGATTCCTGGACAATCTCCGCGATAACCTCGGGCTTGTCCATGCCAGGATCTGCACCATCAGGCGCACCCAATACAATGTTCTCTCGAATAGATAACGGAAACAAGTCGTGTTCCTGTGTAAGCATTGCAAATCTTCTTCGCAAGTCTTGTATACGATATTCTTGGATGGGTACACCGTCGATGAGAATCGTACCCGAGTTCACGTCGTAGAAACGACTTAGGAGTTTAAGGATCGTCGTTTTACCGCTCCCATTACTACCAACGATGATTACGAGTTGACCAGGTTGGATCGTAAACGAAACAGAGGATAGAGCAGAGCGATCTGTCTTCGCAGCAGGATAATTGAAGGAGACATTTCTGATATCACCGCCATCCCATAAATCCAGGTTATCAAAAAAGAAATGGAGATGAGACGCGGACACACCTGAATTCCACAGCGGTTCCTTTCTGATTATCGTGCCCCGGTCGTGGGTATGGTGTTTCTCCGTCCACCATTTGAGGTTTATTGACTAACCCCCCGTAGAACCGTTCCACAGATGCTACTGTTTCGAGTAAAGGATTAGTCCACATCATTAGCTCTGTGAACGTTCGTCTCAGAGAAATGTTCGTTCGTTCGACCACCGCCAACTGTGCAAGGGAGATTTTCGACGGAGTGAACAGCGCAATGAACGCAGCATATAACTATATGGTAAAAATATATGGATCAATGTAAGAAATTCCATTTCCTTGGACGAGAACCGACCACACGTACCATGACAGCTTGCGGACACAATTCAGAAAGCACTTGCGAAAATAGAGGATTCTGCGATCGATACAACATTTCAGGCATCGTATCGGGTATGTCGCGTAAGTTCTCTTGGGTCTTGCGATATTCTGCACAAATGATCGGTTCTTCTAAGTAAGCTACTCAAATTCGAAAATGGGAAGATGGATCGGAATTACCTCGAATTAAATAGTCTTCGATGCCGGCTGCGATCACTTCAGACTTGAGGCGTTCGTCCGCAAGCTTAAGGAGTGCCGATTTACGGAGATACGACTCGTTGACTGGTTGTACTACATACTCTAATTTCACAAAGAGAAATAAACCTGAGTATTTCTGCACATATGAAGTAAGAAATACGTACTTTTCCCCCACAACTGTCTATTTATTAACATGCTATCGGCAAACACGGGAGCCAAGCTGAGAAGAACGAATGTGACACCAGCATGTTGAAAACCAGTGTTAACAACATGGACAATGAGGCGAAGTTGGAGAAGGGTGGAGAGGATACTTTGTGCGAGTCTGAGGGAAAGCTCGAGGCAGTCGAATACCGCAACAGGGTCACGCGATGATTCAAAAGCAGAAGAAGCTAGCATGATGAATGAGCTAGGTTAGCATCTCCAGATGTAATATGGGCTGACTCTGTGATGGTGTAGACAAATTACAAGATAGCTTGGCTGGGGAATCGGATATTGAACACGACCATCAAGCACGGGTAACAGATGGAGAGTACGAACCTTCAAACAGACGCTCTTCCATACTATGCTTAACTCGCATCCTATATATTTCCGTTGTCTTTGCACTGCCTCCCAGCATGAGCGGACAGAGACAAATTGACTCCACGACATCGTACTCACGATGTCCAATTTATGATGCTCGTCAACAAAGAACACAGTATCCTTGCTACAGCAGCCCACAACAGATCGTTTCCAGACTGATCTTCTGGACTCTGGGATATCCGATGCTCGATCTACCATCGTCAGCCGGCATCTTATCTGACCACATGGCTCAAAAGAAGTAGAAAGCCTTACGTAGGAAAACCACCTGCTGGAGAAATAAAGCGAGAGCGTATCTTCCACAGCACACCACAGCGTTGCCAAGATCAGGAATAGAAGCATCGAAGGACTAATTGCGTACAAATCCCCACATGCACGGCGGATGAGGGGGATAGCGTTCGCAATATCACGGTAAAACCGCAAGCCGGGAAGTCTGACTGAGGACAGGGATTCGTTTGCGATGATGATACGCCAAACGCCGAGTCTGATCTCCGTATACTTTGAATTATCTTTGAAAGGTCGCTCGACGATTGGTATGGCGGTTGTGAGAAGATTCCAGAGAGTCATGACCGTCGTCTGGAGGGAGGTTTGGCAGTAGTGGGCGTCGTCAAAATCGCTATATGTAGTAATCGGAGAGAACTGGGTCAAGAGCGAGGAAACGGACCTTGGATTAATATACCGCCTTACATTGAATCGAAGGGCTGTAGTGCTGCTTCAACCGGGAACCATACATATGGCGTGAGGCACCGATCAGAAGTTGCCAGGCTGTACGGAAAACCTCGACGTCACAGCAAATCGGGTGCACCGGCCGCAAACAGCATGAATGGATACCGACGAAGTACCCGGGGCGAATTACGATAAAGTAGTACCCAGTCAGTTTGATGTGTACGGACTCATCAGAACAGGCCGGTGTGACTCGAATAGGCGCCAGTCGTTGGCCCTTGACTGAGTCGACTCGTAACACAGTAATCAGTGGGAGACAACAGGCCTTCATGGCAGTGGGTAACATCCCGAGATAAAAGAAGCGGTTTGATCATATGCGGGTGCCAATCCTCGAGTTTTTGCTACTCTGAGTGTATGATTGGAGTAAAGGCAAAAGGTCCGAAAACCAGGTTAGTCAGCTAATAACCTTTGCAAGACCCGCCATCCAACATATTGTCAGGACAGGGGGAATTCCTCACAGGCTTGCAAAAACACTAACCATTCTCGCAGTTTCCGTCCAATCAGCAATTTCCAGGGTTCAGACTCAGCCAAGTTCATCCCCTCGCGAGTACGATCCAGATGACGACATTGTCACCGTCGAGTCAGATACACCTCAGGCTGTTCCCGAAAGTCAGAAGTCGCTGGCGCGTCAGCCTGATCCGCGTGACGGCCGATGTCTCATTGCGAATTCGACTTGTCAAGCTGCCATCGAGATACGCCACCTGGTGGCCCGCTCCACAGACCACTCAATCGTCTGTTCTTTTCTTTACTATTTCTCAGAGCACTTTGCCTTTCCAGTGTGCAAAGAGCCGGAACGGGAACGACAACAGCGACCATGACCCCACCGACCTCGATGATCCACATCTGCGAGATAGACGTGCGAGTAAGTATTGCGCAGAGGAACGGGAAGCAATGAAGAGCAAGGCACGAACACTTGCCTTTATTTAGAACGATAGTAGACTTTGAAGGTAAGCTTGTAGTGCTTGAGGGGCTCAGTTGTCGAGTAGACAAGAGAAGAACGAATGCTTGATTCGATGATGATTGAGGAAGAAATCCCCGAGTTTATATACATGAGTAGGTACGCACGGACCAAGAGCGTAAAAGGAAACTACTACTCAGTATAGTAAAGAATAATGCAGAAGGTCATGGAATATGATGTATGATATGATGTCAGTATGACATCATTGTGGAGCTGATTATTAAGGAATGTCATGTGATGAACAACGTGTTGATATACGTGTAAGTCTAGATTAGTCTAGACGTCGGAACATATAGTAACATTTCCAACACTCCCCCTCGCTCTAAAATGGTAAGGTCACAAGACCCATTGACGAGCGATTAGTTTCAAATTTTTGCCACGTCAAAGATTTAGTAAGACTGTCTGCTTTTTGTTTATCAGTTTGAACGTATTCAATACTGAATAAACCTTCTTGAACACAGTTGCGAACGAAGTGCCATTGGACGTCGATATGTTTAGAACGACCGTCCGATACAGGATTCTCAGCAATGAAGCGAGCTCCCATATTATCGCAGTAGAGAATTGTTTTCTCGGTCTTTAATTGAAGTTCTTCAAATAGCATAGAAAGCCATTTGATTTGACGTGCGGCATCACAGAGAGCCATATACTTGGCTTCTGTGGAAGAGAGTGCGATAGTCTTCTGTTTCTGAGATCGCCAAGAAATAAGGGATGATCCAAGGAACATTCCATAACCGGTAGTGGAATGACGAGTGTCTTTATTTGCAGCCCAATCAGAATCCGCAAAGCCATAGATTCGAGATTCAAGTCCCGAATAGTATAAAGCCAACTTTGGAGTAGACGCAATATAGCGAACTATATGCAAGGCTTTATTTCAGTGATCTTCGGTTGGATTTGCCATATATTGAGACATGCGAATAACCGCAAAGGCAACATCGGGACGAGTACCAAGAGCCATATAGAGCAATGACCCGATTATTGACTGGTACTGTGACCGAAGAGAAGAAGTGGCTTGATAGTCTGAGGGTGCTTTTTCCGGTTGGTATCCCGAAGGTAATGGAGTGCGAACATTTCGAGCATTCTCCATGTTGAACCTCTTGATAACCTTTTTAACATAAGGTATTTGATCAAGATAAAGTTCCTTTTTGGACCGATCACGGTGAATTTGAATGCCAAGATATTCCTTGACTTCACCAAGATCACGAGATTCCCATTTCTTCATGAATTGTTCTTTCTTGGCTTTCAGAAGACATTTGTCCGATCCTAGAAAGAGTCCATCGTCAACATAGACGAGGAAAATGACAATTCCAGCTTTTGAGATGTGGATATAAATCCCAGCATCCACTTTAGATTGAATATAGCCCATTGAGAGTAAGGATTGATGGAGGGCTTTATTCCATGCCAATGCAGCTTGCTTTAAGCCATATAAGGCTCTAAGCAACCGATAAACCTTGTGTTCTTGACCCGAAACTTTGAAACCTTCTGGTTGCTCCATATAAATTTCTTCATCAAGGTTTCCATAAAGGAAAGCGGTTTTGACATCCAGTGCTTCTGTATCCCAATTTCTTTGGGCGGCGAATGCAAGTAGAATTTGCACAGTTTCAAAACGAGCGACTGGAGAGAAGGTATCTTCAAAGTCGGTACCGAATTCTTGTGTAAAGCCTTTTGCCACAAGACGAGCTTTATAACGACCATCGCTTTTGATAGCGAAAACCCATCGACATTTTACAGGTTTCCGATCTCTAGGAGGATCCACCAAGGTCCATACTTGTCTTTCTTCAATAGACTTTATTTCGTCTTTCATCGCTTGGAACCATTTCTTTTGCAAATCGGGAGATAACTTTAGCACATCTTTAAATTGTTCCGGAGATTCTTTTATCCTGGCAGCCAATGCAAACTCAAAAGGATGCATTTCAGGACCTGGCATTTGAGCATGCTGATCTGGCATGCCTCTAGGCGAAGAAGGAGTATCCGGAAGTGGAGTAAGTGGTGAACCGGGAGAAGGAGGTGTAGTTCCTTGTGGATGTTCAGTCCACTGACTAGGAACTTGAGGAGGAACTAGTGTAGGAGGTAGCCTTGGAGAAGAAGGTCTCCTTTCCTCTTGTTGTTGACGAATAAACTCCCTGGTTTGTCTAGCATGTTCTTCAGCATTGCGAATCCACTGTTGTGCTTGATCCCGATTTCTTTGAATATCTCGTTCAATTTCGACTGGGGGTCTGTCTCCATAGAGATTCCCAGGACGAGATACTGGTATGAAGCGACGTTTAGGACGAGGTTCTCTGTCATCTTGAGGAGGATTTGCTCTGCGAACATTGCGCGAATCTCCTTGAATAAATTCTGGTTGATGAGGATGTCTAAGATGACGAGGGTCGACTGATGGTACAGCAGCAGGTGCTCTTCTTTGTTGTTGACCTTTATTAGAATAGTCCGGAGGTCTCTGCTGTGGGTTTGGTTGTGGAGGAGTATTAGGACGAGGTGGTTGACGGTGATGAGGCGCCGGTTGGATCTGATCAGGATCCGGTAACGAATGTAGGCTTTCAGAGTCGGAAGAATTAGAATCTTGGTCGTTTTCGGTATCGGGGTCAAAGGTTTCGGATTTTTGTTGACCAGAGCAAAAAGGAAAAGAGTCTTCTACAAATTTTGCAGTACGAGAAAGAATAATTTTCTGTCCATTTAAGAACCGATATCCTTTGGTATTGGGTTCATAGCCCAAAAATACCATTTCGACTGCATGTGGTTCCAGTTTGTCTTTTCGTTTTTCTTTTGGAACCCATACAAAGGCTTTGCAGCCAAAGGTGCGGAAATATGTGATATCCGGGACTTTTCCTAAGAATAGTTCAACCGGAGTTTTGAATAGAATCCGTTTTAAAGGAGTTCGATTGTACACATGCAGTGCACAGTCAAAGGCAAAATTCCAAAAGCGTTTTGGAATACAAGCATGGTGTCGAATGGTCCCAGCTTTTTCGGAAATAGTCCGGTTAAAACGTTCTGCTCGACCATTTTGCTGAGGTTGGTCGGCAATAGATAAATGATGAGTAACACCGCGCGAAGAAAGGAGCGCCTTGAAAGTGTGACCCATAAATTCTCCCCCGCGATCCGAACGGAGCGCAAGTAGATGATGCCCAGTAGTATTTTGCATAGACACCAGCCAATTGGCAAAAGCAGTATAGGTATCGGATTTATTGCGAAGGTAGAGACAGAAACCGTAAGATGAAAAATCATCCAAGAGGGTTAAGATGTATTTGGACCGAAAATAGGATTCGACAGGTAACTCCATGAGGTCGGCATGTACCAACCCAAGAGGTTGAGTTGCTCGTTTCCATGACGGTTTGAAAGCTTCAGAAGCTAATTTGCCTTGTGCGCAGCCTTTACAAGAGGTAGTTTCCCCCGGTATTTGTATATCTTGTTTGAGACCTAATCGGCGAATATGTCGGAGAACTGCATTGGCAGGGTGACACATGCGATTATGCCAAAGAGACTCTTGTGTTCCTGTAGCCAGAGGGCAAAGGACCCCATAGGCAGTGGTAGGTGGAAGCGGTACGCCCACAAACCAGTGAAGGGGTGAAGTCGGTGAAGCAATTTTGGCTTCAAGGACAATCCGGCCATCTGGTGCTCTGATAGTTTCGCCAGTAAGAGTCGCTGTGCTCCTATACCCATTATCAAGGAGCGCATTGCGTGAACAAAGTCACTTTGAAAACAAAGGACTATAAACAACATTCTGTAGTGGAAGATTACTGCCATTTTCTAGGCGAATAACCACTGTTCCTTGACCAAGGAGTTGAATCTTTTTAGAGCCAGCAGTAGAGGCCAAAGGTGGATTTTTAAACTCTCGGTAGGTCAAGAAATCAGTTTTGAAAGGAGTCACATGATGTGATGCTCCAGAATCCAACATCCATAATGACTCACCCTTTGGAAGGTTCTTTTTAAGATTCGCATATGATGTCACACCAAATGGGTAACAGTCATAAGAATTGAAAGCATGGCCATCGAATTGCATGGGTAAATACCCAGAGGCAGATTCGTTGGGATCATACTCGATGTCTGGATTATGCTTAAAACGAAATGATTTTACAACAGGAGGATTTGGCACAGATTCGTGAAATTTATGTAAGGATATAGGCTTAGCTCGCTTTTTAGCGGCTTTCTTTAATACGGATTTTCGGAGAGATCCTCCGTCTCCACTATCCTGTCCTCGAAGTCGAGGGGCAGGGAGATCAAAAGTCCGTTGCTGCGTCGCAGACGCATTGCCATTATCCTTAGCATTCCCGTCCTCCACCATATTCGCGCCAACCAAAACGGAATCTCCCACTCGTACTGAGGGTTCGAGGGAACCACTCGTATGTGTCCTGTCCTGCTCAGCAGGGGGAAGGGAAATCTTCCTCGGATAAGAGTCCGAGTACTTCCGTTGCTCCGGTTCCCGAAGGGAAACCTCCAGCAGGTTGCAAGAGTTGACTGTTCGGCGACAGATGGAACATCGGCATTTATTAGAGCCGGGAATGTTAACACGAATCGGTACTGACTCAACTTGATCCGGTTGGAAATTCTGGATTTCCTCCAGATACCAAGGAGCTAAGTTTCCGGTTGTTACATCAACTGGATAATTGGGGGAATCCCCAACAGATTCCATCGCCATAGTAAGATCTTGGCGGGATAGATCAGGGTCATACATCTCGGTGTCAGTAATGACATGTGATCCAAGATATGTATTGAGGTCAGATGAATAGACTCGTTCAACCGGAGTTTGATCTGGGAGAGAATATTCGGGAGAAGGTTCGCGGGACGGAATATTGATTGCAGTGATATCAAAATCTCCTGCATCAAAAGCAGCAGCAGCATTCTCGTAGAATTCCTGGCCTTGAGCAGTATACTCTGGCTCATAGGAATTTTGTTCATAGTAGGAATTCTCTTGAACTTCCTCTATGTACGCCGCGTCGATAGGTTCAGCACCTTCGACTTCTAAGTTATTGGCTCGGGCCTTGCCCTTGCCACGGCATCTGTTTTGGCCTCGGCCACAAGAACCAGAACCTGACTGTGGTGCTTGCTGATAGGGAGTATAATTTCCACGTCCACGTCCACGACCTCCGCGACCTCTTCCGCGACCTCCACGGTAACCGCGAAAGGATCCTGATCCTGATCCAGATTGATGATCGGAAGTATTATGTGCGCCTCTGCATATTTGGCAGAGTGGCGGCTTATTCATGCGTGCCAAAAGTGAATTGGATTCTTGTTTAACTGTGGTCGATGATGACCCAGCTTTTTCCTGTTGTGGAAGCATAGATTTGCCCGATTTGTGGGCCCAAACTTCTTTCATACGAGGTATGACCATGTCGGGAGATAACTGATCGGCAGCAATCGAAGATAGGATATTGACCGGTGCCTGTTCCCAGGCTTGAGTCATCGAATGGACTAAAATGAGCGCTTTCATTTTATCATTAAGGGCAATGCCCTGAGCGCTGATTGCGGATATAAGCATAGTGATTTCCGCAATTTTCTGCATTATGTCATCCTTCGGCTTTATTTGAATACGAATAAGCTGTTGGAATTCCATGAATGTCGTCATGGCAGAAGGGGCTCCGTATGCAGATTTTAAAGCTTCCCATTTGAGATGGGAAGATGCATGTCCATCGATTGACATAGCGATCATCGGATCGCAGTACAAGGTCAAGATACCCTGAGCGCGAGTATCAGAAGTAAGCCAAGCAGGGAGACCGGGATCTCCGGCTGCTGGTTGTGCGATTGTGCCGTCCACGACACCCATAATGCCAAGAGTTTGCATATAGGCTTTCATGAGAACCGACCAAGAAGCCCCAGTTTAGACCGTTAAGTTTTGGGATCTGCTTCGAAAGACCTTCGGACATCTAGTGTCAAAAGTCCATAAGCAGATGTTCGTATAAAAACGAATTAACGGGATGAGTCGACAAGGATGGAGGATTAAGTTCATGACCGCGAATTTTGATTCGGTGAGCAGATGCTCTAGCCTTTTGAGATTTTCGGCGAATACGTGTACAGTTGTTTTTGTAGTAAGAACGTGGATTTCGTCTTTTCTCCATTTTATTTTTCGGTGCCGGTGTGCCTTTCTCAGCGAATCTCCAAGCGGAGATGCGAGAATTATTTCGCTCTAGACTTAAAAAGTCTAACGGAGCAAAATAATGATAACTCATGAAACTCCAGTTGCAGTCATGCAACGGAATTCCATCAGCCTTGAGTCCTAAGTAAGGATCCGCACATGAATATGGAATAGCAAGGCAGTCCGAATGACGAAAATGTCTGTCCTTTACTAAAATTTCGAAAACATTGTAAGACTCATACAAAGTACACGTATTAGTTGCCGAGTGGTTTTGGCCGCCTGATGCGTACGGTACGTCCAGCGTATTTGGGAGAGGATAATTTTTGGCGAATGGTGCGTGCTTCGCGAGCTCGGCTAAGAGCCGTGGTGCGAATTCCGCGAGGTCGGGGAGCTGCGAGATAGTCAAAAGTATCGCTGTCCATGACACGTTCGAGATCGCGTAGAATCTCTTCTGAGCCGGGCCAGTAAGCGAAGTCTGTGTCAGCAGGTGAGACACCCCACTGAAGATGCCGGTTAGAAGAGTTGTATCGCAAGGAAGTTCCCACATCTGCTTCTTCCCTATACCGTCGTATAAACCTAAAGAGACTGCTATCAAAGCTGTCTCCTCCGCGGCGCCGTTCCCAATACCATCTTGGGACACATCGGATGTCCGTAGACCCGTCATCCCAAACTCCTCGGAAATGGAATTCAAGATGCTGGTTCCAAACGCGGAGAGAAGGGATGAGGTTGTTGAAACACGGGTCGTAGAGGAGATGGACGTTGTAGTAAACGTAGACGAATGTGTCATGAGTGATGGTAAAGGCGGGAACAGAGTCGAGGGCAGGATCTTCATAGTACGCACTGGGAAGATCGCAACCATTAAAATTAGCTATGGCGTGCGGAGACGAGGTATGAGAGATCTTGGGAAAGAAGTCGGTAAGGTAGCCGTGATAGGCGAGGTGGATTCCTGGATAAAAATATGGCGATTCGAACCCAGGAAAGTGGGGCATATTTTGCCACGCTGTTTCCACGGTGTCAATAGGGACAAGATATGTCGCAGGATTGGGTTTCTTGAAGAACCCGACGCTCGAGGGCATGGCCTCTCTCCAGCTAGAACAGTCCCGTACATACACCATCTCAGTATACTCTATGATCTCCTTTACCGCATACTTCCTCCTCTTTACATCATACATCCCATCACGTTGTTCAGCAATCGCGAGTTCAAGTTTTTTAGCGACGACGAGAGACATCTTTTTTATTTTTTAATTAGTTCCAGTGCGACAAAGCAAACGAGTCAAAGAAGCAAATCGAACTCAGCGTTGTCGTCATCGACAGCGAGAACGACTGCAGGGTTTATTAGCTCATTGACAGCCGCAACCTCCTCTGGAAGAGGAGTTGGTGCACGACGAGGAGAAGGCGGATCTCGCGCTTCAACCTCATCATACGGCAGAACTGGATCAAGGTCTGCAGCGTGGTCGATGTCGGGAAGATGAAAGTGTAAATAATGAGGAGGAGGAGTAGGTGGACGAACAATAAGGCGCTGTAAAAGCAGCCTGCGGAGTACCTGCTGTTCAAGCAGTAACTGCCGCCTTCGCCACCAAGCGGAGAGACCTAGAAAAGAGAACCAGAATGCGATAGAGCGTACTGCAAGTTCTCGAAGGAATCGCGGGTCATATCCACCATAATGAAGTAAAACAATGGCCTGGTTAAGACCAGCAACAACAGCGACGGCGAAAACTACTACTACCGATCCTAGCACGTCTAGGCCTACGATATCCATAGTGATTTGCCCGTCAGCAGTGATCGCTCTATGCAAATACCGCAAATAGCTTGCCACCTAGTTATAGGCGGGGCTCATAACCTATTGCGCAGAGGAACGGGAAGCAATGAAGAGCAAGGCACGAACACTTGCCTTTATTTAGAACGATAGTAGACTTTGAAGGTAAGCTTGTAGTGCTTGAGGGGCTCAGTTGTCAAGTAGACAAGAGAAGAACGAATGCTTGATTCGATGATGATTGAGGAAGAAATCCCCGAGTTTATATACATGAGTAGGTACACACGGACCAAGAGCGTAAAAGGAAACTACTACTCAGTATAGTAAAGAATAATGCAGAAGGTCATGGAATATGACGTATGATATGATGTCAGTATGACATCATTGTGGAGCTGATTATTAAGGAATGTCATGTGATGAACAACGTGTTGATATACGTGTAAGTCTAGATTAGTCTAGACGTCGGAACATATAGTAACATTTCCAACAGTAAGGTATCGCGAAGAGGCGTTGGTACTGGTAGTGGTCGAACGAGTAGGGGGAAAGTATGCGCTGACATAAGCGAAGAAGAGGATCCATATCTATGTCTGGACCAGGATGAAAGCGGACATGAGATTCCACCAAGCGCACCTCACCATACAACTCAGTCTTCCCGTTTAATGGTATCTAATTACCGTCAAGCAGAGTTGCAGGACTTTCCAAAGGGATGGCTTGCTCACTAGGCATCACCACCGAGATGAGCTTCCCGGTCGCTATCGCCATCTTCACGCTCTTCTCTTGACTCTCCAGGATCTTTAGCCTTGCTGGGACAATCACCAACGCGTCGCCATAAACGGCTAGAGACCCCGCCGCTACGACAGAGTCGAGAAACTCTCCCTGCCACTCGTTACTGCCGAGGGACGGAACCACCCCATTGTTGACATGTTCTTCCTATGATCAATCCCTTTCGTTCGAGATGGCCCTCCGCTCATAACACAGCCGCCAGTGGGAGGCAACTAATCAATCGGATGCGTTATCTCAGCAAGCAACACTCGATGCAAGACCGAGTTCGTCCAGTGTCGGTGGAGGCTTTTTTTTTACACAACGCTAGTTTTACATTGTCCTGCTTTCCATTTGCTACCCCGACCGCTCTGTCCGACCACTGCCAGTATGAGTCCGACAAGAACTTAGATGAAATGACAAGTCTGCCAACGTCTACGAAATCATTTGCAACAATCCCATAGTCCAAGTTAGAAGGAAAAATGACCATGTAAAGAGAAGAGCTGTGTCCATCTGCTTCGTTGGTTACGTCACTGTGATTGACTTGTTCAGGACCTCCATCATCGGGAATAGACCTGCCTGTTCAACGAAGTCAGACATCGAGACACGCACTGCGAAGAGGCTCAATGGGAGGTCAATGAACGCTACTTACCGCAATCAATGTCAAATGGAACACCCCGATCTGAGCTAAGCCCTTCTCCATGGCACTTGGAATCTGCACCGTAAAATTTTCATACGGCGCGCTCGTCGGGTCGCGGTACTGTGGATCGAAGGGCCCATTATACAGGATCTGACCCATCATGTATTCAGGTGACGCGCAGACCCCGCCGGACGCTGCGCAAGTTTGGAGACCGATCACGACTGCAACTTCTTCAGAGCTGGTGAGCGTGTTCTGTAAGGTGAGCGTTAGAACTCGGCGTTATGACGAGTGGGTGGAGAGACGGGTGCGGGGAAAAGTACTTACCGGACGTTGGATCTGGACTGTGAGGTTGTCCCCTGGAGAAACGCTGTGCCCGTCAGGGGGATATCCGATGACAGCGTTCTGCGCGGACGCGAACGCCGGCACCAAAAGCAACAAAAGGAAGGCTTTCATCACGTTCAGTACTCAAGAACAAATAGCGGGGATAAGGAAGGGACCCTCATCGACCACTTCTCTTTATATTCGTCAGGTTTACAGACGATGCAACGCAAGGCGATACATTTTACGGCGGCCCAATATACCCGAGAAGTGAACGCATTTACATCGCGGCACCGGTGGTCCGTATCCACCCGTGTTCTCCCTCTTACCAAGTGCTTTTACTGGAAGGAGGAACTTGGTTTCCCTCAAAGGACGATGTTGCTTCTCTTGGACCATATGGGTGAGTCAATGCATACGGTGCGGAGCATTACATCGGACAGAACGGTACAGTTGCCGCTTTCCTGAACGGAGGCAGGGAACAAAGTTAGAAACTCTGCATCCTACTCAAGAGATGGCAAGGCTAACTAAGACATGTATCTGCCAAACATTTGTTCTCCCACTTTCCGGGCTAACAATGCGAACAGTTCGAGATCAGATTCATATGCCATGCCATGCCATGCTGCATCGCACCCCATTCGCGCACAAAGGAATGCCTTTTTTCGACATGGCCTTCCTTCCGTGTCGAGGTAAACAATAGAAATCATAAAACCAGTCCGAAAACGGACCTACAGATCATTTCGATGCGGCACGGAACACGCACGAGCT